TGACACTGAATGTTCAGTTACAGTAGAGGAAATGGTAAATACGATTGTTTTTAATCCTGAGAAAAGAATGCTAATGCAAGAGCAAAGAGAGCAAGCATCAGATGATTACATGGTAATGCAATTGGGCCCTACACCATATTAACACTAAATAAAACACTTTAACACAAAGCATCAGCACTCAATTCAAGTTCACGGCTCATTGTGGCGATAAACGTTTACATTTTTGCCCCCCAATAAAACTTAACTGAGACAATCAAGTTGATGAATGTTAAAACAAAGCAGCATGAGCAAAACAACTCAAACCAAAACCAGAAGTGTTTCTGACTACTTAATGATGCTGAGAGCTTTTCCTTGACACAAAGCCAAATTTATAACAAATAATTGTCCACATCATTGCTCAGCTCATCTATTAATATTGTAAATTTGCTATTGATCCACATGCTTTTTTTTTTTCAGATCTCCATGATCCTGATTTCCACTGACATTTAAATGTTACGCGGATTTTCTGCACTAAAACTATTGAACCACTTGTTTTGCAGCATGAGCAGGTTAGTGATGTCACTTTGGACACACGTTCACAAAGTCAAAGGTCAAACAATTTGCTCAAATCAACGTATTTGTCACAGCTGAACACTGAGGTGCAGCCACGGTGATTAATCTAAGAGAGATTTAACCTGGCTGTTGGTCCATGGTTCAGTGATTCTCACCATAGCGTTGATTTATGACTCATAATAAATATTGTTGCTTTCATTACCAAGCAGAGGAAATAAAGCCCATAAGTCTTGAGAAGGCGCATTTGCTCAGGGAGAAAATTTAGCTCAAGCTTGACTAATAAGACACTACTCATTCTGTTCCTATAGATTAGACTGACAAGACTTCAATAATACAAGATGCGGAGAAAAGGTTGACCTGCCTCTTTCTTTCTGCAGTAATGTCACTCAGATGTTTCTTCTAGGGTAGCTTTGAGCAATTTAACCAACACATAAATGCTATAAATAGGCCCAAATAAAATGAGGCAGAGTACCCATCTTCAGGAATTTTCCACACATGAGCTGAGACATCTCCCTTTTCGTTGATTTCTAATTAGCTCGGATGCATTCTGGCAGTATTAAAAAAAAAAAAATCAAATCTATTACGCGCATGTTTGATCCACATGAGCGGTGACATGTAGAGGGAGCAATAAGGTTGCCCAGTGAGGAGCAGCCCCATGTTTTGATTTGTGTTTAGGGCTGTTGTTGTAAACAGCGCAAGGCTCACACAGGCTGGCTGGCAATGAACCTCCACAGCGAGTATCGCATTCAAAATGTCTCAGTGAATAAAAGTAAAGTGATGCCCTCCTGTCACATCAAACTGGATGTCATTTAGAGGAAAAGCAGGTCCACGGGCAAGAGTTAAATCAGACTCACAATATGCCTGCACAGCTGTCTCCACTTCATTTTTTGCACACGCTGAATCGAATTCCTGATTTTCACTGCTCCAACATTCAAACATGCCATCTACACACTCGGGGAATGGAACTGTTTACTTTGGGTCAATTTGTGACAAAGCACATCACATGGGATAAGATATGAAAGGTTAAGACAGTGTTTGCTTGTGGGCTCCAGTGTGACAGGGCTGAGAAAGCATTGAATTAATGATGCCATGTTAATTTTTTTTTTCTTTTACACAGGTAAAGGGTGGAATAATGCAATCTAATTAGAGCGATGAGCTACACCAGAGCAAGGTTTTAAGCCATCTGACAGTGAATAAACCGCTGTGGGGCTCTCTTATTGAATTTAATCCTTTCACTGTAAATCTTACGAGTGACCCACATCGAATGAAAGTTTTCCGAAACATACAATGCAAAGGCAACCACCATTGCAAAAATGTCATGTAATCTTTGGATCATGTTGGCCTGGAATAAAAGGTGAAAATGTGCTTGTGTGCACAAATCCAGCCAGGAAAAGTACAAAAGAACAGAGTCAATATTAAAGGGCAGAGTGCAACATATGACACGCAGTGTGTATTTCATTTTGATGCAGCTCAACCCAGAGATGTAGTGACATTTACATGTTACTGACTGTATAATCTGACACAAACATCAGAACATATAACTGCTTTTTTTTCTTAAAACCCATCCCTAGCCATCCCCATACCTACCTGAAAACAATCTTAATGCAATTCCATTGTACATGCATTGCATGTCCACCATGCTATCACTGTATTTTCTCCTCTCGTCCTTAAATTGCACACTAAAGGAAGACACACGCAGCATCCACAGGTGCCTAACGAGTAGCGACTATATTGTACTGTATATGCACTAGTAGATACCGTTTGTATAATCCATAATTACAGTTTATACGTGCTGGTTTCAATCTGAGTAAATAGCTCTTAAGTGCGCGGAAACACATACCAAATATCAAAAGAGCATTCTACTTGAACTATAACGACAATGACGGGAACCTACCTGTGATAAACGAACGGATCCGTCAGCGCGTTGGGTCACCAGTACGCGCAGTTCGAACAGTATATTGCGTGTCGGAGGAAACAAATGATCACAAGTGCAGACTGGTCCACTTTGTTCAAAGACGGTGATTTTCTGGAGGAAGGCGGCTCGTTAACTTTACTCGTCTCACAAGAGTGTCTGTCCAAGGTGCTCCGCTCTCTGCTTGTGCTTCAGAGAGTGTGGCGTCCCCCTGCTGCACACACAGGCACTTTATTCTCTCTCCCCAAATTATTAAATAAATGGGGGCGGAGTGCCTCGGTTCCGACGTCGTGGTAACTAACAAAGTGGCCGCTGGATGACGCACTTTAAAAGTGTGAACTGCGGACGGTGGAAATCAGGTGATTGAGCGTCTGAACGATGCAAGTTTTTTTTTTTTTTAAACATGATTTAAAGAAAAAAACAGGTAATATACCATCATAATTGGATTCGTACAGGTGACATATATGGTACACGCATGAGAAATGTTTCATTTGATATCAAATACTTGGCTGACTCAAACATTTTACAGAGGCGCGGGCGCCTGAAAAATCATCCATCCATTCATCCATCCGTCCATTTTCTAATCCGTTTGCCCTCACGAGGGCCATGGGCGTGCTGGAGCCTATCCCAGCTGTTTTCGGGCAGTAGTCGGGGGGCACCCTGAACTGGTTGCTAGCCAATCGCAGGGCACACATAGACGAACAACTATCCGCGCTCACAATCACACTTAGGGACAATTTAGAGTTTTCCATTAACCTGCCATGCATGGTTTTGGAATGCGGGAGGAAACCGGAGTACCCAGAGAAAATCCACGCAGGCACAGGGAGAAATTGCAAACTCCACACAGGAAGGCCGGAGCCGGAATCAAACCCTGCACCTCTGCACTGTGAGGCCGTGCGCTAACCAGATGCACATGGAGCCACCCTCAAAATGATTGATTTTAAAATATTTTTGAGTAAATCCTTTACAACATAATCAAATTTTACACGAATAAGTTATGTTAGTATTAATGTATTGGAAGTGCAGTAACATGGTTGGAAATCAATGCTTTTGCTAGAGTTTTTGATACCCGTGTTTCCTGCTATGCCAACTCATCAAAAGCAAATTTAGCTACATAATTTGAAAAAAAACTCTGTTTATTGTTTCCTTTTTCTGACACCCAATATAGTATATTTCTTCGAGCATATGAAACGATAGATTTGTGTACAGTGTCAAAACCAGGCTTGGACACAGAACACGGATGCTGGGCTCAAAGTAAAAGGAGAGTTTTATTTGAGGATCAGCGACTGAAAATTCATAACAGGCAAGGCTGTGGAAACAAGGCAAGGACTGGTCAGATTTGTGGTGAGAGGCTGGAGTGCATGCATAAGGACGAAACACACTGGCACAGGAAAAAGGAAGACAAAGACAATTTAAACATAAGGTAAGGGGCAGCAGGTAGAAACAATCAGGGCGGGACTGACAATCAGACTGACATAGGAGGAAAAGCAAGTGACTGGAAATGAGAGAAGAGTCCTTCTTTCAAAATAAAAGAGAAAGTGACCAGACAAACACAAACAGCCTTAACTGCAGTGTGACAAAGTTGTCTGTCTTCTTGGCCCTCTTCCCTCCACTGTCAGGAAATAATAATGTTGCTCACATTTAGACCACTGTTGTCAAGTTTGATAGTCTCTTTTTTTGAAAAATACTGTAGTTGCTTTCTGTCAGCCTAGTTTTGATTCAAGTTGTAAAGACCACCCTATTACCTTTTTTGGTTGAAAATAGAAATCATTATCTTGGCATCAGATGTTGGTTGTGACCCAACAACTTTGAACACAGATCAGCACAGACACATCAGTGCTCTCTGTTGTTTCACATTCCCCGAGGTTGAATGTCAATCTTCATTGTCATTATATTTCAGCCCCATTAACTATTGATCATCTGCACTTCAACATTTAATCCCAGCAAAATGGCCCATATGGTTCTCCAGTGGTCAATTCAAGGTTGGGACAGAGCATGGGGGACACAGAGTAACTACGCTCCAATACACAAGCAGCCTGTTAGCAATACACTACTTTGGTGAATACACTTCTGTGCAAACTACTTTTTTTTTTTTTTATTGCACCCTTCTGAATATTTACAAGGATTATATTCTGCTCTCTGCCTTTCTCACCTGGGATTTGCAAGTATATTTACTAACAACAGTCTCCATCCAAAATAGTACAAAAAAAAAAAACCCTTGCTTTGGCAGTGTCTTGACCTATATAAAAACATCATTTTCTTTATTGGGTCAATTGCATGTTTATGTCTTTGGGCAAATTATTACATTATATCCCCAGGCTCTCTGTAAATAAAACTGGGGAAAAAAGCTGTATTAAAAGAAGGATTAGGACCCTGTAAATATTTCTTTCAAATAAGGCATAGTGTAGTCTTCATTTTAATACAATAAAAAATGACCGTTATTTAAAAGAGTAAACAATACACGAATCTTTCAACTTGTTAAGTGATTTGTGTCAAGTAAAATAATTATCCATATTCCTCTAATGAAAACCACCCCTTTTTATTCATAAAAAGTCACATTTATTCCAAATCCATATCATTAATATCAAGCATTACAAAACTGCAGTGCTTCATCACCAAGAACGCATGAAAAAAAAAAGAAAGTACCATATTACAATTCCTGTGCTGTAACAGTTTCTGACATAAATGGTTAATCAGTTGTGATGGAGATTGAACAAAAAACAAGCAGAAACAATAAATGAGTTGTTTGGACCAGTCCTGCTCTACAGGATTATTGTGCAGAGTGAAATCCACTAGAATCCAGCGTGGTTTTAGAATAATCCCATCAGAACTGCAGCAGTGCCACGCTACTACAGAACACCCAAGCCTGTTAGCCCTGATGAGAGCCTACAGTGAAGGAACATAGAGAAGTATGACAGAAAAAAATGAAGCAATCCTTGTTAATTACACTAAACACAACCACCTTTATTGTACACAACAACCCATTTTCCCCGCTTGCTGCCTACAGAAATTTAATTCACTATCAAAAAGAGGTCTAGGAGGGAACACAGAAAGTAAACATTGCATATTAAGAAACAAATCTCCTGGAGTAAGTCTTCATATAAAGCTCTGGGACACAAAGCCATAAGAAAATTATTCTTTTTCCTGGGTTCAAAGCAAGCCTGAGTTCGCACATAGCATACTATGCAATTGAGTTAATACACACCTCTGCCGCCTATTAAAAATACGCATTCCCAATTAATGGAATGCAAGTGCTGCACTGGGAAACCTTGCATATAGTACTTGTGCCAGCCATTGACACATTGACCATCATTTTATAATCTGGTATCCAATTAGACAGACATGTCCAAGATTACTCAATATGGAGCAAACTTCTGTCGCTCAGACTTTTTGATGCCAGAGGTTGGTATTTTTGCTGTGTAAGGGGCTAAACCCTGTGTTAGGCTGGTAGCAGCTGCTGGGTGGACAGCCAGAACGGGTAGTGTTTTCATGCCAAGCAGGCTGGAAACAGGGACGGCATAGTGGGGATTTTGGATGGCCTGTAATGTTGAGGGAGAGTGGACGTTAATGTTGGTGGGGGCTGGGGTGGTGGCCGCCAGGACGGCGAGAGAGGTAGCAGCATTGGAGGCGGTGGAAGCAGACTGAGCGTAGCTCATGTTGAGATCAACTGGGTTCGCAGCGGCGGCAGCCTGCATGGTGTATTTAGCCATCTCTAAGCTGCACGCCGTGATGTTGGAGGGGATGTTGAGATGGTGTGATGTTAAGAGAAGACAATGGAACGTGAAGGGATGAAAAGTGGGTAAGACAACAGAAAAGAGAAGGGGGGAGAGAGGAGAAAACATGAGAGTCAGAGTAGCAACGTGTTAAAAAAGCAGAGACAATCAGGATTTTTTTTTTTTTTTTTGGATGTAGTCAAGAGACTGGAGCAGTTAGCTGCAACAAAACCAACCACTCCTTGACCACAATTATTCCACCCTCACAAAAACGCTTGGTTGGCTGTTATGTCAGAGTGCACTGTGCAGCTCTGCTATAAATGGTAGCTGTGAATCGTCTTACCTGGCGCTGATGAGGTACTGGGCCACGCTAATGCTTGCCGGTGAGCCTGTGATCGTGACTTGGCGCACAGCTGAGCCATCAGTGGCACTGGCAATTTTGATGTGAGCTCCCGAGACCTGGCGAATTTCATTGATCTTGCTGCCTTGTCTTCCAATTATGCAGCCAATAAACTAGAAGAGCAGTAGAGTGAAATAATGTAAATAGCAAATGAGCTTTTTTTTAATACTGCCAGAATGCATCCGAGCATGTTTCTCCCCTTTGCAGAAATAATATCACAGAGGAACAACTACAAACAAATAAATAAATAAACAAACAAACAAACACCACAGTGAAATCTTAAGAGTGGTGGGTTCCCGCTTATTTACGCATACTGTGGGAAGATATTACATCTCACTCTTAGGGTTTATGAAATTTGTGAGCTCTTGTCAAACCTTCACAAATCAACACAAGCTAGTTGTAGTGCATTGAAGTTTTGAGGGGGTGGCACATGTGTGTCCGTCTATTTGTCAGTGAGCAGGCCACTGCTGGCCGAATGATGCAATTATGTTGGCTCTATTGATGCCAAAGGGCAAAGGAGGATTAAACTAAATCTTTGTACCTGCAACTTTATCCAAACCCATTCCTACTTAATGGGTTCTTGCTTGTCCCACTTGCCACTGCTCTACAAGTTATGGAGAAATAACATTTGTTGTAACACTCTATTGCAAAGTCTGCCGTGCAAAAGGCGATGTGAAAAAAGTGGTGGCCTGACACATGCACGGTACTGCAAATTTAGCTCAACATTATCTCTCTTCACTTTGACCTAATTGTCTTGAAACAAACATGCTTATCATAAGGAATCCACACTAACATTGAACAATAAAGTATTGAAAGCTGAAATGAATGAAAGACAAAGCGGAGGATGCAGTTCGAATTACTGGTGTCCAAACACTCCTTTTCAAATCTAGCCACCAGACAGTGCAAATGAAGTATGCAGCATCCATATCATTGATGTGGATTTGAAGTACTGCCACAACACAAAACAATGAAAAACTTACATCATTAGGTATCGCCAGCTCCTGTGAACTTGTGGGGGCAGACGCATCCAATCCTATAAAGTAGGACACAGAACGCTAACAACTGCACTAATGGCTTCCACTTTTATGACATAACAAGTTGACCTACTTTCAGTAGTTATTACTTTTGATAACATGGGACTAACAAAAAGAAACTTTCTATCCACATGTGTACCATACATTTGATACCGGCACATATTTAACTTAGATTTCAGCCACATATATCACACGGCTATAGTTCTAATGCTTTAATGTCATGCACAGCATGGCTAGCCTCTTTGACAGCCGTACTCTCTATGTGGTGCAGACTCAAGTTAGTTGTGGCAGAATACATGAAAATGTGGGTTGATGATGTCAAGGACAGCCCGAGCCAAGATTATGTTAGATTTTCAGGGGAGATGTTGCTGGATGGGAGGGATGGGGGTCAAGAGTTTGGGATTTTTTTTCAGACGGCGAAATGGGGCTCGTTCAGAGGATTGGGAAATAGTGATAAATGGTTAAATATTGACAAATTTGTAAGTACGACTGTCATTTTCACATTTCCTTCTTTTATAATTTGGAAAAATAATGTATGCCTCAGTGACTTTATTATTTTATTAGAGGTTCTGCAGAAATGTGAGAGAAGTCTATAATTCTACAGTTGCCTGAACAGTTGAAGGAAAATGCGCTTACGGTTCCACCATCAGTGTGTCCCCACTGCACCGATGAAGGTCCATAAAGGAAGAATTGTGGTTTGGATGAATTTGTGAACCCTAATCGAAACTCCATCAAAAACGTTTGGGGGAGGCATAGCTTGTGAGGCAGCAGACCTTCTTGACCAATATTAATGACCTTTGACCTCAAAGATTAATAGAAAATGTTCACATTTATTTTTCCCTCCAGCTTGATTTTCCCAATTCTTGTGTCTATACAGTCTACATGCTATCCACACACGAACCCACTTTGCGGATATCACATTTTGTTTTGATCACTTGTGCTTAGCGAGATGTGGCCACTAAGAATTAACCTGAGAGAATGGAGGCAACCCTGATGCTCTCTTATGTGACAGGGCTGTTTGATGTTGTGATTGGAAGAGGAGTGACGACAGAGGGATTGATGGTCTTCCCCGGGGAGCCGTGGGTACGTACCAGGGAAGGTAGGGTTGCTCTGCCCAAGGGAAGGGAGGGGGATATGCTGCATAGCCAACTGGTGAAGCTTGGTCAACTGCAGGGTAGGAAGGAAGTTAGAGCTAACCAATCAAAGTGGATTATTTTAGAGGAGTTGACAGCTACAATACAGAGTCAATCTGAAGTTCACAAACATCACAGATGGTGTCAGTGAGAAGATTCATTTCCTTCAGAAAGCATGCTGGATTCTCATGGAAGTCGTCTGCAAATACAGTCACATCTCTGGCTACAAAACTACAACTTGATCATGAAGGGACTAGCTTTAAACTTTGATTTCAATCAGAGCATGCTACTAATTTGTGTTAGTGTTAGTAATGTTGACAAATCAGAGTTTCATTGATGCTTGGGACGGTTGAGAAAGGAGATCGGTGGGACGGGTGGGAGTGGGCAGAGTTGGACAGAAAGGGGAGGAGTCAGTCATTTAAAGGAACACACTTACATCTTGATGAGCAAAAGCATATTGCCCTGGAAGTGCAAATGCCTGGATGGTGAGAGAAGAAATGTGATAACATGTTATGTGACATGTGAGCATCAAGAGTAAAGTCAGGCATTTGGGCGCTTGATTGAAAATCCATCCCCTCACTTTTTCCATGGCCCATGATTGTAATGGCTTTGATGGAATTGTATCAATATGTCACACCAATGGTTTTACCCCATTTTTACTATGCCAGGAATTCAATAACAGATGTCCGATAAATCAGAGCAGCCTGGGCCAAATCTAGGACAGTGGCATGCCAGTTAATGGAAAAAAATCTGCTTGACTAACAATATTGTTTATGTTTCACACTGCAAGGAATTAACAATGTAAATGGGTATCATTTATACCCATATTCATTGTTTAGTCGTATTGTTTTTTTTTTACAATGCATATGATCCACATCTACCATTTTCATGCATTGAAAATGCAGCTAGAACTCATTGTCCCCACGTTGCAACATTTCATGCACGGCAGACTTATTAGTATGTATCCTGCATGCACAGCACGACCGACTGTTCATTTCTCTAAATCTGTTGTGCTGCCGAGTTGAGGTTGCAAGAGCAAATATGTATATATAGATACAGAGGTGCAAAAGTCCTCACTTTCACTTTCTCATCCACTGACTGGCTACGATGTGCTGATCGGCTCAAACCTCTGCGGTTTGATCATGGCCGCTTCTGTCAACTTTTGTGCGTCAAAATCCTCTTCCTCGAATTGCAAAACATTACTCGTCATCGAATATGTGTTCATTCACTTATCAAGATAATTCCATGAAAATTTAAGCAATTAAGGTTGAGGAAACCCTGCCTGCCTTCAAAAGCAACATTTTCAAGTCTTCTCTTTTTACAAAAAGGTAAAAGTGTCGATGGAAACTTACTTGCTGTTGTGCTAATACTGCATGGGCTCCAGCAGGTATGGCCTTTGGACGGTAGGGAATAGTGGCTCCTTTTGGAGGAGACTAGAGACAAAATTAGGAGAAACAGGAAAAAAAAAGAATATTTTATATACAGAACTTTCACTAAGACTGATGTATTTTACATCACATATACTGTATCCCTCGCTGAATCTTTTAATAGCCATCTAACCGGTTGAGAAGGGTACATGGACCTTGCATGCCACAGATTAAATAAACGCTTCATTTACAAGACTTCATTTTTCCGGCATGAGGATAATCGTGCCCTTGCCAATGGGTTGGTAAGAGAGATAAATTAATGATCCCAACTCCTTCACTCCGAAAATACAAATTATGCTGTGACATAGGTAAAATGGAGATAATGCTTCATGATATTCTGCAATAATAACCCATCTAATTGGGAGCACTTTCATGAATGCAAAGGTGAGTTGATTTAAAGCTTATTAAGTAGCTAATTAATTCTGTGCTCTTACTGAAATTATCACCTTAGAAATAATGGCTTCATGCTTGAAAGCTTCCCTTTGTAAAAACTGCACCGAAGCATTGCGCCATTTGGCTCACAGAGGAAAATGAATATGCATATATAGTTTAATAAAAAGATCACAACATAACCACTAGTGAAAGTGTAGACACGTTTGAAATATATTGTAATGGGTGGTATAATGTAAGGGGTTGTTCCGGTGACTGCACGTCATTGTAAATGCCCAACAGTGAGGCTCAACTCTAAACTCAATGCAAAGCGATTTCCACAACACTGAACAAATATACAAATGTAGCACTGTTGCGTGTCCAAAAAAAAAAAAAAAAAAGGTCACGAAGAGCGGTTTGACCGTCCATACCTCCAGCATGATGGAGCAGATGTGTCGCACACACTGAGTGATGGCCTGTGGAGTGCCAGAGATTGTGACAGCCCTCTCGGTCGAATCCGGCAGCATGTCTCCTGCCACCTGAACCTGAGCCCCTGTGGTCTTGACATCACCAGACAACAGAGCAAAATGGCTATTTATTGCCAGAAAGAGCACTCCATCACCCAAAATTGAAATGCAGTCTCAGACACCTGCAGCTTTATCCTGATAAGATTCGGACATGCAAAGAGCGGCTGCAAGCCAAATAGAAACGTGTGCACCAATATTTAAAGAGGTGCACATAAATAATCTCCATTTAAAATGGGCTTTCAGCCTCTGCACAAGCTTAGTCATTCAGATTCTCATATGCAGTTCCAGCAAAATCATGCAGGCTTGATTGAAATGTTTGATATTGGAGGACCCTTGATTCCAGAACATCAGGTCAAAGGTGGCCTCTTCCCATTCATATGCAGACAAACAACTTCCAGAGAGAAAATTGCAGAAACACGGGGCCACCTACCTCTCGAATCTCTTTGATCTTAGATCCTCCTTTTCCAATCAGTGAACCGCACTGGCTCCCTGGGAAAACCAAGCGAAGTGTCACAGGCGGATTGCTGGTTACATTGCTGTTTGTCATTGCCGCCGTTATATCCTGAGGAGAAGATCCGCAAGGTCAATATCAGCACAAGCTTTAAATTGGGAATATAAGGATGCCGGCAATACTGACCTCCTCAAACTTGTGCGCAATCATGGAGAAAGCTCTGAAGATTCCCTCTGTGGGTCCTGTGATGGTCACTATCCTCTCGGGAGACGATCCCTCTGATATGTTGATGCGAGCGCCACTCTGAGAAAAAAAACCCCAAAACATCCAATCTAATTCCTATGCTGTGCCATGCAGAGACCTGGAAGAAGATGCTAAGTTATACAGTTTGCTTCTTACCTCCTCTCTCATTTTCTTCACCGTTTCCCCTTTCTGGAAGCAAATAAAGGGGATAAACATCTTAAAGATGGCAGTGACGCAACAAAGGATGTTTTGTTTTAAAATTAGCCTACCTTTCCAATTATACTGCCAACTTCCTGTAATGACAAGAAACCTTAAATAACAGCAGTAACAAGTTACAGTCCAAAAAATTGGACTACAACAATACCACAGTGATTCCATTCCTCTATTCCACATTAGTCAATTACCTTTCCGTGCATCAATAGCCTCAGTGTCAGTGTAACATTCAGGCTTCCATCTGAGGCCATTTCTTCCCTCTCAGACATGCCCTGTGTTTTCACACCTTCTATGTAAATACTCTGCAAATGAATGAAAATAGTTTAGGCAAGAGATATATTCCAGTACATAATACAGTAAATGGAGAGATGATGCGGACATCGCTTTCATGCTAAACTGGCCTTACAGGGCAGTTACTGCTGCCGGTGGAAATGTATCACTTCCAATTTGCCACTTTGAGAAAATGCCGTCCGACTGATAACTATGTAAAAGCTATGGCTTTCATAACAAAATCCTCGGCTATATCATCAATCTATAAATCTCCAGGAGAAATAAAACTGATTTATGTCTGTAAGGATGTTCAGAACCTCATCAAGGGACTGAGTGTGGACCAGTGAGGTTTTTCTCCTGATCTTGTCGTTGTGAGTGCGGGTGAGATAAGCCTATCACGAGGCACAATCTTCACATGGGACCACGTCTTTGGTTCCGGCTTAACGCGAGATGTGTGACTCCCTTGGATATGATAAGACACAAAGGACGCCACTGTGGAGAGCCGACAATCAAGTCATATGTGTGTGATGGTCTCCAATGTACTGACCCACAATTTCAGTTTGGAAGACACAGTGAATCAAATCTTTGTTGTCTATTCAGAACAAATGAAGAATGTTTGAAGGCATTCAGTGTCAGAAGAGGGGCTTCTCGCAAATAACACACAAATAGAAAGAAGTTTTTTTTTGTTTTGTTTTTTTTTACCAGATCGGATTATTTTTAGTATTAAGAAAGTTTTATTTCTTTATTGATAGAAAGAGTACCATGACGTGTTCTTGGTGTGTGCAGACCTCTCCTGCATTTAATGCTATATTTGACCTGTAGCAGACAACAGCACTTTTTGCGTAAAATGTATCCACTTCTGTAGCAGTATGATCAACATCAATGAAGAGAATTTTCTTTCTCTTTGTATTTCAGTGAGCCTTTTGGGGGTCCATTCCATGAAGCCTCATCTAGACTGATTCCCCGAGACCTCACAGAGGTAAAAAAGGGAAGGGATTGTGGCTACATGCTATTGGTGCATACCCATGAGCTGTTATTTGTTAATCCAGATTCATCTGGTCCTACCGCAGGATTTTGTGTACACAATTACATTTGTAATACATGACCACTGACCCACCCGCAGATCCCTGTTTGGATACTTACATAAAGCAATGAATGGCAAACTCCTTGCTTCCATTCCAAACCTTGAAGGAAACAAACAAAAAAAGAGAGAGGCGACTGTACCTTAATCTTGGTGCAATTACAAGAATAAAAGAGTTGATGATGATTTGATAATGAGTTATTAGTTTTTCATAGTCCTCTGAAATTGTCCTGCCATGTTCCTGTGTTCATACTGACGAAATTATCAAATCCAATTAATACCTTTGAGGTTGTTTTGCTGCCAACAATGAGGCTTCTTCTCCCCTCTGTGTTTTATTACAAAATTACGGTGGCAACATCAAATAAACAGCAACATCTCTTCCTAATCCTATAGGCCAGGATTTGTTTAGTTAATGCTAAGACCCTTTTGACCCATTTCTGTCACCTCGAGTATGTCAGCGACCACTCAAGACTTCCGAACAAAACATTGGCTCACAATGGCATCCACAGTGTATGCAATATGAGAAACACATTTAAAACAACCGATTAGTTATTCAGGCAGGTGAGGGGAAAAAAAATTACATAGATCGATTGATGGCTTTTGAAAATTGTAATGAGGAGGTAATTTTATTTTTCATGGCATAAAAGAATGATTCATTTATATGCCCAAGTGTTTTTTGGAGTAACACAAAACAATGCTTAGCACAAGTTGATGTTCGAGCAATTATTAGAAAGGAGACAACTGCTGTATAATATCTTGCATCAATGTGTAAGGTATTGATAAAATCCGGTTCAAGTAACTTTAACGCACCTAACTGAAGACAAACAGCCATCTTAGTCCATTTCACTTCACTAATTGAAGTCAGGAGTTAAACATAGGTACAAAGATGCTCATTGTTTCATTGTCAACATTACAGTTGTCTGCAACACTGCTGGCTGTCCAAAGTCAACGGCGAACACCCTACATCTTGTAATTATATCTCTGGATGGAGGCCTAATGCAACACGGAAAATTACAAAAATGTACTGACCTTATATGCCAACCATTCACTCGTCTCCTTTAAATTGGACAGCTCCTAATGGAGTAACCCCTTAGTTTGTTCTCCGTATTCCGTGTTTACGTCCTTTGTTGTCACTTATCCACAGAATGGACAGATGGCTCCCTGTGCCTTTAGACTGGCTGGAGCGGAGGTTGGCTTTGCTATTAGTCCCTCAGCTTAGCCCAAGATAAGCCCCTACACAGGGCAAGTGAACCCACATCTCTTGCCTAATTCTCTCCGTCCCTGCCACCAAAGAGGCGTTCCTCCACACGTCGATCCACAGGCTGAAAAGGCCTAAGGGCAGGGCAAAGAGTCTCTTCTGCTGGCCACTGTCCAAGCCACAGATAGCAGTGACTACGGTAAGGGCCACCACCAAAAAAAGGGCCTTTTGTTCAACATAAAAACACTAGCAAAAAAAAACAAAACACAGACATAGGAAGATGCAGTTAACCGATATTGCTTGTGAGTCAATTTTTAATGGTTGAAAAAAAAAAAAGAAATCGGTTCGTTGTGCTTGGAGCCCGACTAATTGAGGGCTGAAAAGGACAATGTGGTGTTGAAGGTATTTAGTGATGTTAAGCACAATGTCCTCGTGGGGTACTTCCCCCCTCTCTGCCGTGCCCTCCCCCACACCAAGCCCCTCTGCCCTGGAAATTAGGCCATACGCAATACAATACAGCCCTTCTGCACAGAAAAATGTATTCAGCTGAGCTTCAAAATTGTGAGGGAAGTGAATCAGTGAAGCATAAGTGGCATATTTAATTACTATTCACTGTGTTGCACGGAAACAATGATGGCTGCTGTGAGCCTCATGGCAGTCTTTTAGACATCTGAGGACTGCTCAGCAGTTCAATACAACTCCCCAGTAGTTCTTCTGTGAATAAAACTGTTTAATTTAGTCATGAGAAGAAAAGGCGTATTTGGATACTTTTTTGTGTTAAGTGAGGAAGTAAAACGGGGGGGGGGGGTGTCATAAATTAAAGAAAGAGAGTCAACAAAAGTTCATTGTCCAATTCTCCAAAGATTTATTTCGCTATTATTTGGCCTGATAAAACATTTCAATTTCAAGTCACTCGTGCCTAATCTCCCTCCTAAACTAATGGTTCTGTTGAGGATGGGATTATATGTAATGGGATTACTGTGGAAGGATTACTTAAAACTTGTTACAGTAACTAGTTCCAGTTAGACTTAGAGACCTACAGTACACACCCTAAACAAATACTGCCTCACCTCATTTCAGGTACTAAAAAAAAACAAAACAGTGTAGACCACTGTTTCTCTTATGAAACTATGTTTTCAATGAGGATTAAAACCAGAAATAGAGAAGGCTACTCTATTTTAAATTGTGCTATTTCTTATTTTGAGAGTGTCTTCCATTGCATATGACTAAGGTAATATTGGAATAAATGACAATGCATTGCTTATTTAATTGTTTGAGCACAACTCAACTCAACTCAACTGTATTTATACACAAAATGTCTTCATTCATGCACCCTGTAACCTGATAGCATGATGAGCTGTCCACTGTAGTAACCGCTGTCCTTGAGAAAGGTTAATTTTATGTTTTTACGATTTGTACTATTTACAGTATTACAAAGCTTGTCAGAAACATTCCAGAACTGCTGTCACATATACATGTACTTGAAATCGAAACTGCATATCCAAATTTCTCCCATTTATGTAATCGCACTGAAATCAATTAAACTCTCCCAGCGTTAATTTTCTGCCACGCCTTCATTCACTCCTGAAAGGATTCTTCCGGGATCCTTCACACCTCTGTATAAAGACCATCTTGATAACACCTCGTCTCAAAACAGGGTCCCCTTGATGACCCACTTGAGCCAGGCAAAGAACAACAACAACAAAAAAAAAATCAGCAGTCAAACCCCTCCAGCACGTTGATGTTCTTCTCAACCAGGAACTGTCGGACGCAAATGCCGTTGCGAGGAGGTGCGTTGTCATGGTGAAGCAATCACGGGTTGTCCTGTCACAGCTCACCTTTCTCCTCCTGCATTGAACAAAGCAAATGCCATAGGAACTCTTTGTCAATGTGCTGGTTGATTTTCTGGCTCACAATAAAGTGAAGTAATAAGCAGCTTGTAGTTTGGGAATTTGTTTCAAATATGTCTTTTGTGAACCCACTCGTAGAATGTTTTTAATACATTTCTTGTGTGCTGTGAAGACATGTCATATGAAAAAAAACTGTCGTATACAGGGTGGACCAAAAGTAGGTAGAATTAATTTTTTTCCTTTCCTTCCCTCACGGAGTTGCTTTTTTTAACTCTTGCATCTTTACTTCCATCCTTCCTTTCTTCACCAAGTTTCAATGAAACTATCTAACAGTTTCTTTTCAGAACAAAACAATAACTCTTTCTCATTTTCAACACCGCTTCTTTTGAACAGGGTCACGAGTGGGTGCTGGAGCCTATCCCAGCTGTCTTCGGGCAGTAGGCGGAGTACACCCTGAACCGGTTACCAGCCAATCGCAGGGCACACAGAGACGAACAACCATTAGTGCTCACACTCACACCTAGGGACAATTTAGAGTGTTCCATTAACCTGCCATGCTTGTCTTTGGAATGTGGGAGGAAACCGGAGTACCCGGAGAAAACCCACGCAGACATGGGGAGAACATGCAAACTCTACACAGGACAGCCAGAGCCTGAATCGAACCCTGCAACTCTGCACTGTGAGGCCAGCGTGCTATGTCTGTGAATTACAATAAATGGATTCAAGTTTTTTTGTCTAATTCATAGATGAATCCAAAAAAAAAATTGACAGAATAATCAATTATTAAAATAATTATTAGTTACCGCCCTGTTTGCAATAAATCAATAAAGCAATTATTAAATTAGCTAAACTGATCCAAACATTAATACTGTATGTACATTTCATGGTGGGGGATGAATTAACGCAAAAAATAGTACACGAGTCTTGCTATTGTAAATGATCGATGGGACGGATTAATGATTGGAGTGAAGCCTATGGACTATAGAAACTACGGACCACGGGCCATAGTTTTCCTATCCCTCTTCTATCACAGGCATATGATGTTGTACATTGGTCTCACATTTATAGTTTCTGCTGGAATGTAAATAGCCCTGTAAAAAATATCTGAGGTGAAAGAAAGAGGCTGTGGCTTTTGTCACATATTTCTCACCTGTTTATTATTCCTGAATACCTATGATTCAAACTGTGAATCGCCTTAAGGCGTCAAAAATGAAATCAAAGGATGGCAAGAAACTGAAGAAGAAGCTGATGCAGGAATGAATACCTATGATCTGGCATTCGAGGCATAGTCGACAGTCACAAGAGAAGAAATTGGCTTTGAGGAGAGTACTTGTTAACTTGTTGCACCCTTGTTGTAATCACAGGCGTGAGAATCGTTTCTGCCCAGGGTGAGCACATGTGCAAGTTGCTCTTTGCGAAAGATCATCGCCAGGGTTGAGGTGAGAGGGCGAGGTTAGCATTTTAGATGGCCAATATGCCTATACATCCGCTGTCTGATCTGTTGCATGCTCATCTCAAAAAAGGATGCCCCTTCAAAATAGTCAATCGGGGGTGCAGTAAGAAAAAATAGCCAGTTGATACAAATGCGTCAGGTGTAGAAAGGCCATCAAAAGGCGTGTAGATGCTCCTTGAAAAGGCTTCGTTGTCGGGGTAGGGGGGAGCGTCGGCTGTGGATATTCACTGAGGAGGATGCCCTGTTGCCCCTCCCCTGCAGCAAACCACTGGTTCTAACTTTAATATTAATAGCAATTGCTGTTCAAGTTCCCACAAGACTATGACAAAGCGGGACCATGGTCTTGTGCTCTTCATGGGACTGTGAAACTGAGCACGTGGTCAGCGGACTTTGAGCGTGGAAATCAATCAATAACTGCATTCATTCGAGCAGCTTTGAGGGTTTACAGTATCTGTGTCGAACACGGACACTTGGTATCGCAAGACGCTCGATGGACTTCCACAAACTTAACTCTTTTGAAACCTTTAAGGAGGTGTGGAGTTGTTATGGCTACGGAGAAAACCTGGAGGACATGCTTGAGAGGGAGTTCACGCGGATGAAAGGTAAGAATTGCGTTCTCCTCTGAATTGCTGTGAGCGGTTTAAAGTTAACTAACAGTACAGTTCTTGTCATTCTACAAAGGCACTATATATTTGGATCATGCAGCAAATACTTTGTACCCAGAATCACTGGTCAGGAGCTACAGCCTTGATATTTCAAGGAACGTGTATGGTATGAAAAGCAACGGTTCTTTTTATTTGCCAGCTCATGTTACTTTATGAAGCGGTAATATTGATGTACGGCATCATCTTCCCAATAGGAAACCCTCACAGCCACAACGCCAGCAGCAGATTGACACATGAGACCATGGAGAGGGTCAGATACAGGTGAGCTCCAACCATGCCCTGAGACACATTCTAAATGGTCCCATGAGCCCTCTTTGAAACTACCGTGCATGAAATGAGTTTTTTTTTTTTTTTTGTTCAAAAGAGATCATTTTCTTTCAGGATATTGCAGCATTTCAACACTACCCCAGAGGAGTATTCAGTGATTTTCACTTCTGGCTGTACAGCCGCTATCAAATTAGCGGCAGAGGTCTTCCCCTGGAGGTCGCAAACAGAAAGCGAGGCGGGCAGTCACTTCTGCTACCTCACTGACAACCACACATCTGTTGTTGGCATAAGGGGACTAACATCTAACCGGGGAGTAGTTACCCTGCCCGTCTCCCCTCAGGAAGTGGAAAATAGGGCAAAAGATAAGATTCTGGGTGAAGTTGCGGTTTGTCAGACCCCACATCTCTTCTGCTACCCGGCACAGAGCAACTACTCAGGAACGAAGTATCCCCTTAGCCATGTAGAAGGCTTACAGGCAAGACGTCTTTATCCAGCATGTGACCATCGAGGCCATTGGTTTGTGCTGCTGGATGCAGCCTCGCTTGTCAGCTGTTCTCCTCTTAACCTACAAGACTGCCCTGCTGATTTTGTCCCGATCTCCTTCTACAAGATATTTGGCTTCCCGACAGGTCTGGGGGCCCTTCTTGTCCGCAACCACGCTGCAGGCATACTAAAAAAGACTTATTTTGGGGGAGGCACAGCAGCAGCTTACCTTTCTAGCGAAGATTATTATGTGCAGGCTGCAAATGTTTCTGACAGGTAAAGCCGTGAACAAAATTGCCAATCATGGACAGTCTCTGAAAACACCATAACTTTGCACATTTATACCCTGTAATCAAATGTTTGTTTTTTTCCTGGGTAAGATTTGAAGATGGCACTGTCTCGTTCTTGGACATCATTGCCCTCAACCACAGTTTTGAAGCTTTATACAGGATCACCGGTAAGTAACAGTGACACAACAGCCACACAGAGGGAAATAAC